CTCTGAGTTGGGTGTAGATGAGCCCTCCTCACCCAGCACTCAACCGAGGGTTTTGCCCTAAGATCCAAGATTTGAGGGCTTTGGAGTGCACCTCAAATGGGCTTTTGAGGAGGAATCATTGTCAATCTGAATTGGGTCCCTCCCTGGAAGCTGTTTAGAGAGGGAGGGAATGGTATGGGGGGCCGCATTTATGACCCTGTGGCCCAAGGTCCTGGGATAACTCCTTCCCCTATCCTCCAGGCCTCCGGGGGCTGCAGGTCTACAAGCTACACAGGGAGGAAAGGCCCAACTACCGCCTCAAGTGCCTGCAGTGGTTGAAGAGCCCACCTCAGTGGCCCACATGGGGCAGAAGCCAGATCTTCTGCCCTTGCTCCTGGCAGCAGGGACGATGGGACTTGCGATTCCAGCCCAGCAGCATAGGTGACGCATCCTCCCCGTCCCCCACAAGCCTCCTCACCATCCTCTCTGCTCACACCTGACCCACCCTTTCTGCTCTCAGCCCCTCCCCAGAATCGTCCCCTGCCCTGTTCCCACCCTCGCCCAGTCTGGACCTGAGTATGTCTGGGTGTTTTGCAGGCTGGTGGGGCTGGAGTAGCAGACAGCTGTGCAGCTTCTCCTCCTGGCGGGGAGGCGTGTGCTGCAGCTACGGGCGTTGGGGAGAGTTTCGTGAAGGCTGGAGAATGCAGAGTCCCTGGCAGTTTGGTATGTGTGCATGCACCTGTGGAGAACCACAGGTTCTTCTTAGCCAAGCCATGGGACCCTCAGAGTGAAGCTTCTGTCCCCTCCTTCCCAGCTCTTCCTCTCTCTGGGCTTTAATTTCTTGATCTTATAATTAGGAACCTTCCAACATCCCTTGCAGCTGAGTGCCTCTTGTCCCATCTCCACGTGGCCCTGTAGCCCCAGCCCAGTTCAGGGACATCTTTGTAAGCTTGCGGGAGAGCCTAATCTGACCTCATCCCTCAAGACCCAGGTTGGCAGGCTGTTTGGGGAAAGACACAGAGTCAGCTCCCACAGAGACCCTCCGAGGAGGTAGAGAGAGCTTGTGGCAGTACCATGGCAATCTCCATTGTCCCCAGATTACCAGCCCTGCCCTCCTCTCTCCCAGCACTCGGACAGCAGTGGGACTTGACACTCACCCTTCAAGAAAGGAAGTGTGTTTAGCTCTGGCCATGTGCCCTGCTGCACAGTGGCCCCAAGATGCCTGCAAGAAAGACAGTACCAGCTCCCTGTGGAGGCCACTGAGCAGGGCGGATTGGAACACCATGCCTTGGCATGAGCCCATCCTGCCCTACCTCCCGGCTGGGTTCTCCAGGTCCTCTACCTCCCTCAACATGCTGTTCTTCTCCACAGACCGGGAACTGGAGCCGCAGAGCTGGTGCTGCCGCTGGAATGATAAGCCCTACCTCTGCGCCCTGTACCAGCAGAGGCGGCCGCCCATCAGCTGTGCTGGGTACCGACCACCACGGCCTGGTGAGGGGCAAAGCCCAGGCACAGCGTCTGGGGCAGGGTAGCCTGTGGCCTTTGGGACATGGGGCAGGACCAAGGGAGGACCTGGCCAGAGTTGTGGCCACAAGGGAAGATGGACATGATTCCAGTGTGGGGCTGATGGCAAATGGGATGTGTTTTTTGTTGTTCTTTTGGGATGTTTTGCAGTTTTTTTGGCCAGGGCTGGGTTTGAACCCACCACCTCTGGTATATGGGGCTGGAGCCCTACTCCTTTGAACCACAGGCGCCACCACCAAATGGGGCATTTTTGTGCGTGGCATTGGGCAAGGGGTGAGAATGGGTGTTAAGGACACAAAAGTGCAAGAGGCCTCAGGGAAGATTCTGTTCTCCACAAATATCTCCCTAGGACTTGAGGACACCTGGACAAATGTCCTGCCTATATCCCCTTTTCACTTTGCCAGTTGGACTTATGTCTTTGTTGGTCACTCAAGTGGGGCCAAGGAAATATCCTTTTAAAATGCAGGCAAACTGGTGTCTTGTATCCTGTCAAAGGAAACAAATGGAAAACAAAACAAATGTCCTGCCTGCTGGGCAGGGGCAATCTTAGACTCTACCTGCAGTTTGCCGGGCTAATGAGGTATCTCCATTTGTTTCAGCTTGGATGTTTGGGGACCCTCACATCACTACCATGGATGGCACCAATTATACCTTCAATGGGCTGGGGGACTTCCTGCTGGTCCGGGCCTGGGACAGAAACTCGTCCTTCCTGCTGGAGGGCCGCACTGCTCAGACAGGCTCAGCCCAGGCCACCAACTTCATTGCCTTTGCAGCTCAATACAACTCCAGCAGCCTGGGCTCCATCACAGTGAGTGGGGGGACACCCAGGACCCCCTGCGTCCCTGCAGAGAGCCCAACAGGGAACTTCAGCTAGAAATTGAGGTGCAGGAAGAGGAAAAGAACACAGAAAGGGAAGGCAAAGGGGGGCAGGAGGGAGGGAGGACATATCCTGCTGGTGTAGTGGCCCCAGAGTAAATCCGGAGGTGGGAGGACTAGGGTCCTGGCTCCACCATTCACCAGCTGTTTGACTTCGAGGAAACAACTTACCTCAGTGTCCCAATTTTCTTATGGTAGAATGAAGATAGTAATATTACCTGCCCCAGAGGGCCATTGTGTGACAAACAAGATGATCTGAGAGGGGTGCCCAGCATGAACCTGGCCCCAGGCGCTGGCTAACACAGCCTCACTCCACACTCTCCAGCACTTTCCTCTTCCTCCAGGCCCAGGCCCTAGACCTCAGTTGCTCTCTGGAGCCTCCTATCTAGGTTTCTGCTCCACCTGCAGGGCCGACTTAGGCCTCCTCCAATTCCTTTCCAGGTTCAATGGCTCCTCGAGGCCCATGACACTATCCGTGTTCTGCTCAATAACCAGACAGTGACATTTGAGACAAAGTATGAAAACGGAGAAGGTAGGCCGAGGACATCAGCCCTCTTCTGTGTCCCCATGGGGGAGTTCAGCAGGGTGCCCAGTGCCCTGGGAGCAGCGTGTGAGTTGTGGAGGTGGCGACAGGGAACAGAGTGGAGTGGCTGTCCCTTGCCAGCCCTTGGGCAGCTGTATCTGAGCAGCTTCATCTCCCAGGATCAGGGCATTAAACTTTCCTTCCACATGAGTCCACTCCTTCCAGCCCTGAGTCCTCGCCTTTGATAAACCCCCATCTCCACCCACAAAGGTGCAGGCCTTGAGGGGGGCATGTGTATTTGGTTTGGGACCACCAGACGAGGATCCCTCAGAACATCCCAGAGTTGCCCTCAGAGCCTTTACTGCTGCTAGGTGCGGTGGCCTCCAGGGTGCCAATGCTGGCTGCGTTCTCACCCACCCCTCAATGTTCTAGGCTGGGAGATATTCAATGCCACTGGTGTCCTCCTGACCCGCAATGGCTCCCTGGTCTCAGCCAGCTTCGACGGGACGGCAGCCATCTCAGTGACTGCTCTCTCCAACATCCTCCATGCCTTTACCAGTCTCCCGGAAGAGTATCAAAACCACACGGAAGGCCTCTTGGGTATGAGCTCAGCT